TTAAAGGTTTGGATGGTAAAGGTATGGATAGTGAAGGTATGGTTGGGGAAGGTAAAGGATGGGGGAAGGTAGGGGATGGGGGAAGGGTTTATGGATGGGGGAAGGTATGGATGGTGAAGGTATGGAGGGGGAAAAGGAAATGGATGGGGGCGGTATGGATGATGACGGTATGGATGGTGAAGGTTTGGATGGTAAAAGGTATGGGAGTGAGGGAAAGGAGGGTTGCCCGGTATGGAGGGTTTGAAGGTTTTGGAGGGTGAAGGTAGGGGATGGGGGAAGGTATGGAGGGAAACCCGGTTTGGATGATGAAGGTATGGATGGTGACGGTGGGGGAGGGTTGAAGGTAGGGGTGGTGAAGGAAAGGGGATGGTGAAGGAAGGGATGGTGAAGGTTTTGGATGGTGACGGTATGGATGGGGGAAGGGTATGGTGGTGAAGGTATGGATGGTAAAGGATGGAAAGGTAAAGGGTTTATGGATGGTGACGGTATGGATGGGGGAAGGTATGGATGTGACGGAATGGATGGTAAAGGGTTTATGGGTGGTGAAGGAAAGGATGGGTGAAGGTAGGGAGGGTTTTAAAGGGTTTTGGAGGGTGAAGGTTGGTGGTGAAGGATGGATGGGAAGGTAGGGTTGGTGGGGTTTAAGGGGATGGTGAAGGGTTTATGGGGGGTTTAAAAGGGTATGGTGGTGACGGTATGGATGGTAAAGGGTTATGGAGGGTAAAGGTAGGGAAAGGTGAAGGTATGGATGGTAAAAGGTATGGATGGTGAGGGGAAAGGGGGTTTAAAAGGTATGGATTTGTAAAAGGTATGGATGGTGAAGGTATGGTTTGGTGACGGTATGGAGGGTGATGGTATGGATGGTGAAGGTATGGATGGTGAAGGTATGGGATGGTGGGGTTTATGGAGGGTGATGGCTTGGATGGTGGGGTTTATGGATGGTGAAGGTATGGAGGGTTGAAGGTATGGTGGTGCGTATGGAGGGTTTGAAGGTAGGGGATGGTAAAGGGTTTTATGGATGGTAAAAGGTAGGGGAAAGGGGTGAAGGTTATGGAGGGTGAAGGTATGGATAGTAAAAGGTAGGGAAATGGTAAAGGTAAGGATGGTTAAAGGTATGGATGGGGGAAGGTTTTGGAGGGTAAAGGATGGGGGTTTGAAGGAAATGGAGGGGGAAAGGGTTTATGGATGGTGGGGTTATGGATGAGGGACGGTATGGATGGTAAAGGTATGGATGGGGGAAGGTATGGTTTGGTGACGGTAGGGGAGGGGTGGAGGATGGTTGGTAAAGGGTTTTATGGAGGGTTTAAAGGGTTTAATGGATGGTAAAGGGTTTAATGGACGGTAACGGTATGGATGGTGAAGGTATGGATGGTGCGGTGTGGAGGGGTGAAGGTTTTTGTTTGGTGAAGGTATGGATGGTAAAGGAAATGGATGGGGGACGGTATGGAGGGGTAAAGGGTTTAATGGATGGTTGAAGGTAGGTTGGTGAAGGTTATGGGGGTAAAGGAAATGGATGGTGACGGTATGGGGGTTTTGAAGGTATGGATGGTGAGGGAAATGGATGGTAAAGGTTTATGGATGGGGGGAAGGTTTGGAGGGTTTTGAAGGTATGGATGGTGAAGGTATGGATGGTGAAGGAAAGGGGAGGGGTTGAAGGATGGATGGTAAAAGGTATGGATGGTGATGGTATGGATGGTGAAGGAAAATGGATGGGGGAAGGGGTATGGATGGTGAAGGTATGGATGGTGCCGGTTTGGAGGGTTTAAAAGGTATGGATGGTAAAGGTATGGATGGTAAAGGGTTTATGGATGGTAAAGGTTTTATGGATGGTGAAGGTATGGAAATGGTGAAGGATGGATGGTGAAGGTATGGAGGGTTTGATGATGGGAGGGTTTTAAAGGAAAGGTTTGGTAAAAGGTTTGGGGATGGTAAAGGGTTTATGGAGGGGTTGAAGGTAGGGAAATGGGTGCCGGTTTGGATGGTGAAGGTATGGAGGGTTTGAAGGTAGGGGAGGGTTTAAAGGTATGGAGGTTTGAAGGTTGGATGGTGCGGAATGGATGGTGAAGGTATGGATGGTAAAAGATTGGATGGGGACGGTAGGTGGTAAATTTATGGAGGGTTTAAGGCAGGGATGGTGAAGGTAGGGGATGGTGAAGGTATGGATGGTAAAGGGAAATTGGGATGGTGAAGGTATGAATGGTGACGGTATGGATGGTTTTTTGAAGGTATAAATGGTGACGGTATGGATGGTGAAGGTTGGATAGTGAAGGTATGGAGGTGAAGGTTAGATGGTAAAGGTATGGAGGGTTTGGCCCGGGTTTGGATGGTGACGGTAGGATGGTGAAGGTAGAATGGTGACGGTAGGATGGTGAAGGGTATGGATAGTAAAGGTATGGAGGGTTTGAAGGTAGGGGAGGGTTGAAGGTATGGAGGGTTAAAAGGTTGGTTGGTAAAAGGTGGGGGATAGTGAAGGTTATGGATGGGGGAAGGATGGATGGTAAAGGGTTATGGTGGTGAAGGTATGAATGGGGGAGGGTTAGGGGATGGTGGGGTAGGGGAAGTAAAGGTATGGATGGTAAAAGGGTTTTTGGAGGGTGAAAGGTTGAATGGTGACGGTATGGATGGTAAAGGGTTTATGGATAGTGAAGGTATGGATGGGGGAAGGTATGGATGGTGAAGGTATAGTTGGTAAAGGTAGGGAAAGGTGAAGGTATGGTTGGAAAAAGGTAGGGGGTTTTAAAAGGGTTTATAGATGGTGAAGGTATGGATGGTAAACGGTATGGATGGTGAGGGTTTTATGGATGGTGGAAGGTTAAAATGGTGACGGTAGGGAAATGGGGGAAGGTATGGTATGGAAGGTAGGGGATGGTGAAGGTTGGATGGGGGAAGGGGAGGGGGGGGTTTGGAAGGTAGGTGGTGAAGGTATGGATGGTGAAGGTAGGGGGTGGTAAAGGGGAATTTAAAAAAAGTAAAAGTAAAGAGAACACAGAAAAAAAGAAACAAAATTTACTGGGGACGGGAACACTCAGAAATAACCCCCCACATTGGAGAGAGAAGCAAATCCAACACATCATTCTCTCGCCACTGTGCGGGGGCGAGACCCCGAAAGGAATAAACCTCAATTTTGAAAGTAGTGGAGGCCCCGAGCCTCCGTAAAGTTTTTTGCAAAAACAAAAAAAATTTTACTACCCAAAAATGCACCCCCGTGTTGTTCGCCCCCAGTTTGCAAAAAATTTTGGGACCGGGTTTTTTTGGGGTTTCTATGGTTTAAAAAAACCTTGCAGGGGGGGTGCTTTTTTATTTTGGTCAAAGGGTCTTGGTTTTAAGGGAAATTGGGAAACTACCCCCCTCCTGGAAATTTAAAACCCGATTAAGGGCCCATTTCCCCCCGGCGCTCTGTGAATTTCCCTTAAAAAATTTAATAAAAAATAATAATAATTAAAAATAAAAATTTAAAAATAATAATAATAAAAATAATATATAAAAACTTATACTTTCAGTTCTTTTAAATTTTTTTCCTCTTTCTTCAAAAAATTTTAAACCCTGTTAAGCACTTTAAAAAAAGTGAGTCATTCAGCGCAAAACGTGTTGGGGCTCGATCCTCCGTCTGGTGAAACGCCAAAACAGACGCGCTTCTATTTTTACTCGCCCAGTGTTCCAAAACTTTTTAAATTAAAAATTTTTCTGTTTATAAACGTATATCCTGTGTTAAGAGTGAGGTATATCCTTCGTTATGAGTGAAGTATATCCTTCTTTATGAGTGAGGTATATTCTTCATTATGAGTGAGGTATATCCTTCGTTATGAGTGAGGTATATCTTTTGTAAGGAGTGAGGTATATCCTTCGTTAAGAGTGAGGTATATCCTTCGTAAAGAACGAGGTATATCCTCCGTTATGAGTGAAGTATATCCTTCTTTATGAGTGAGGTATATTCTTCATTATGAGTGAGGTATATCCTTCGTTATGAGTGAGGTATATCTTTTGTAAGGAGTGAGGTATATCCTTCGTTAAGAGTGAGGTATATCCTTCGTAAAGAACGAGGTATATCCTTCGTAAAGAACGAGATAAATCCTTCTATCAATGTTGCAACACTGATCACCTCAAAATTACCTCTCCACTCCTTCTGTCTCCGGTGTTATAATCACGGTATTCGGTTAAAGAAGCCTGCTACGCAGGCGAAAAGTTTCGACACTATAGGTATCCGAACGTTGCACGTGTGTCTTACTCATCAAGACACATGTGCAGTCAGATTTAATCCAAGGAAAACGAGGGTACGCAATCGGTGGATAAATAGACCTACACCGGCATAAAGGTCGGTGAAGGGTGTCGAAGCTGTGTCTTCCAGGACAACAGAACACAAGTCCTACAAACAAAGTCAACAAAAGAACCTATTTTCTAAGTTCTGCAGGTGATCACACTATTATTATTATTATTATAATTTTTATTGTTATTATGTATTCCTAAACAAAGCGATAAATTCGTATGGTTGATACACCTATAGGTAGTTAGAATAACACACACAACTCCAAGCAATGCACTCCCACCAAGCGTTGGTCTGACACCTTAGTCGTAATTAAGTGTAACAAACTGCTAGGTAGCGTCATTGAGGCGAACACCTTTACTACCAGAGAAAATAGCTTAAACAAATATATGAGTGGGAATAATAGAGTATTTCCTAGCATGGCCGGTAGGCCTACTGTATTCATCTTCTGATATGTTCTAACACATTTCCATCCTAGGTACTGAAGCTGACGGTCGAAACCCCAAAATTCACAAAAACTCAACAATTCGGAGAGGAAACTATAAACGACGTTTCTGTCCGTTCAAGGCCATTATAAAGTCGCAGCTTGATTATAACCCAGGATGGCCCAAACCATTGGTCAAAACTTCCCTTCCAATTTGTGGATCAGTTGTGAAATGTTCCATCCCCCAGAGAGCTGTAACTTTGAATCCCAAACAGAATGTTTACAAATAGTAAACGATCCGCCCACCCCATACAGGTATGATGAAAACCTATTGGCTGAACAACTGCGAGGGCCGGGCCTCCATCAAGGGTCAGGTGACCATACCGAAGACCATCACCGCCATGGACTCTCCAGAGCCACGTAGGGGATCCAACGTGTCCAGGGGTAACTACTCACCTATTACCTTCGAGGACGTGGCTCGCAGGTCACTCACCAACACCCCAACGCCCTCCTTCACCGCCCCCAACACACAACTACCGCCTGAAGTGCCGAAGGCCCCAGAGAAACCCAGAGGCAAGCATGCGTTTAACTGGTCCTATTAGTAGCAGTAATTGTAACAATAGCAGTAGTAGTAATAGTAGTACTAAACTAGTAGTAACAGTAGTAGCAGTAATAGTGGCAGCAGTAGTAACAGTAGTAGTAGTAGTAACAGTGGCAGCAGTAGTAACAGTAGTAGTCGAAGAAGTACTAGTAATATCAGTAGCATCTGTTGTTATAGCAGCAGCAGTAGCAGTAGATGGCACTAGTTACAGCAGTAGTATTAGTAGTAGTAACACTAGTAGGAGTAATAGTAGTAGTAGTAGCAGTAACAGTAGTAGTAATAATAGCAGTAGTAATAACAGTAGCAGAAGTAGTAGTAGTAGAAGCAGCAACTAGTGTACTAGTTGAAATATAACAATGACGTTAGTTGTAGTACTATACTAAATGTACCGTCATAGTTAAGTTAGTGCAGTAGTTGTAGAAATAGAAAAAAATGTTGTAATAATGGAAAAAGTTGTAGTAATGATAACAGTTGTATCAATGAGGTAAATGTAGAAATGGTAGTAGCGACATAGTAGTTATATTAATAGTATTTGTATCTGTGTAGTAACAGCCGTATTTTAAGGTTTTTCAAATAGCCGTATTTTAAGGTGTTTTAAATAGCCGTATTTTAAGGTATTTTAGGTGTGGTAGTAGTTTACAGGAGTGACAGCGAATGGCTAAGTATCAGAGACGAAGCAAAATATAAATAAAATGATAACCACTATCAGAAAAATTAATCAGTACAAATTAAAACACTGAGAACAATATAAATTATAAAGGGGATGACTGGGAAAGACTACAAGAATGAAGAACGATGTGAAGGTAATGTACTATCAGACATCTGAACTTTTTGCCAGGAAGAGACCCACAACAGTCGACTAACACCCAGATACATAGATACTGTTAGGTGGGGCAGTACGAGAGACCCCAAAATAGTCGACTAACACCCAGATACATATATACTGCTAGGTGGGGCAGTACGAGAGACCCCAAAATAGTTGACTAACACCCAGATACATATATACTGCTACGTGGGGGCAGCAGGTGTAAGAAAACTCGTTCGCCTTGCCCTGCCTGGGGCCCTAATTAGGGACCTTCCGATTGTATTACGAATTTACACAACATAGATCAAATTTGTGTATATCTGAAAGACAGGCGGTATGTACGTGCTCTATAACACTACAATCTTCCTTAAATGCCCATTTTAACATTCGAATGTATCACAGAATATCGCATTTAGATAACAACCAGGCGACAGCCCCGTTAATGCCTGGAACTTATGCCACACCGCTTATAACACAGTCACTACATATTTATTACTGGGAAGAAACTCTTCTGATAGTCTTAAACGCTTCTGCATTAAAATCTTTAAGCGCTGGGATACCACAGAGGTTTACAATTATTTTTCGTCGTGTAAGTACGGGTTTAAAATTTTATTGAAAAAATTGAGGAAGTTGAAATATGGGTTTTCCTGTGACTATTTGTGAATGCCAAATCTGATCGTCTTCAAACCGTCAGGCTTCAGACTAATATAGTGTACTTTTGGATATTGGTCTCTTTGTGATAACTACAGAATGCCTCTTCTGACTGTCTTTAAACTTTCAAAGCAGACTAGTGTACTGTATCTAAAAGGAAGGTTCGCACTGATTTTGGGCTGTCTAGGTCTACCTACCTACCTAGAGAGTATTCCGGGGATCAACGCCCCCGCTGCCCGGTCCACGACCGGTCGATCAGGCTGTTACTGCTAGCCGCATGTAGTCCAACTTACGAACCACAACCCGGCTGATTCAGATTTTAATGAAGAAATTGTTATATTGTCTTTTCTAAGCTAATATTTAGCTGCAACATTAACGTGTGCCGAACTCTCTATTCTTCATTCGCGAGCCCTGAGGTAGAGGAGGCTAGTTTATGGCATTATGACGATATCTTTCCAGAAATACGCAGCAACTGAATTACATATTGGTGTTGTCATCATTTTACCAAAGTGTGAGGGTTTAGGCCTGAATTATTAGATGAGTTAGGCCTAAATTATTCTCAGGTAGCAAATTTAATTAAAATCGTAAAGTGTTTTGCTGAGGCTTACTGAGTTGCTTGTCAGTTGAACACAATTTCTCTCTCTCTCTCTCTCTCTCTCTCTCTCTCTCTCTCTCTCTCTCTCTCTCTCTCTCTCTCTCTCTCTCTCCTCTCTCTCTCTCTCTCTCTCTCTCTCTCTCTCTCTCTCTCTCTTTTACACAGGGTTTAACAAGGTTAAGGATCCCTAGCTTCGTTGACAAGCTATTTACAGGTTAAGGATTCCTAACTTTATTGACAAGCTAAGAGCTATTACCTACATCGGCTCATTTAAAAGTATTTTTATTGTTATGAGACATACAAGTAGGAAACAGGATGAAGTTGGAGCCATCTGTGGGCCAGCATTTTCATTTGATCAACTGACTTTATCTCGTTGACATCATAATGATGCACGAATGTGTTCCATACTCGAGTCATCCTGGGTATATATGATCTCAGATGGAGTGATGTTCTGGAGAAGGGTACAGCCAGAGTGAAGTTGCTGCTTCCTGCCCGTCTTGTGGAATAGAAGCTTGCTTCTCGCTGTCCTCGAAGTGGATGCAAGTGTGGTACTTTGACAATATTGGCCTTGTACATAACAGTAAGGCCACCCACATCCCTCCTGTGTTGAAGGCTCTGCTGAAATGACAGATCTATCCAGGATTGGTCCAGACGAGAGATGAGACGCTTTGCTCTGTTCTCTACTCTGTCAAGCAGTCGCAGATGAGAGGGGGGGTAGGGAAACCAAGAAAGTGGAGCATACTCAAGGTGTGAGCGTACTTGTGCCTCATACAAAATCCTGCAACCCCTACTGTCAAGCAGATGCGAGATACGTCTCTCTCTCTCTCTCTCTTTCTCTCTCTCTCTCTCTCTCTCTCTCTCTCTCTCTCTCTCTCTCTCTCTCTCTCTCTCTCTCTCTCTCTCTCTCTCTCTCTCTCTCTCTCTCTCTCTCTCTCATCCTAGTATAAACCATAAATTATTTTTCATAATCGTTCTTTCTGCACTTGCCATAAATAATACCGATAAAATTATAATAGAAATTCTCACTTACAACCCCTCATTTTCAGCCAAATATTTATCCTGCCCCAGTAAACAATGTTTTTATAGCAAATGCTCCTTGTCAACATTATTCCACCAGTCTGATGAAAAACCCAACCACAACTTCAACTGAAAATGGCCGAGCATACACACACACTCAAACATACGTGCAAAAACACACACAAAACACACCCACATGGGAGCCAGGAGCTATGACTCGGCACCTGCACCCACAGTTAGGTAAGCACACACACAAACACACAGATAGTAACATAAAACAGGACATGTGTCTAATCACCAAGTATCTTTGACGAACGGTAACTATCTATGACATTCAGAAACTTGGTCAAGACCTCAGAGCCTCTTGGGAAAAAATGAAACTCGAGAAAGTCTGAAGGAGTGTATCCAGACTGGCGCCTGAAACCATGGAAAGACCTGTGAAGAAAAAGTTAGGTCATGTGTTTGTCTCTAGAGTAATGAAAATACTGAAGAGATACGATGCAAGGTCGGTCATGGACTGGACCGCGGGGGGCGTTGACCCCCCGAACACACTCCAGGTATAGACAGGGTAGACAAGTACAAGCTTTCCACCAGTCATGAGTTTATACACAAAGCTGACATTGTTAGTAATTGCACATCTAAATAAACCGCCAGAATATCCGAAATCATGACTCAAAATCGTAATAACTTGGGCTGGGCTTACGCGCTGGCCGGGAGTTTCACAACTCACTCACCACAAATTCAATCCCCACCCGTGGTATGGGTTATCCGAAATCACTTCGGCATAAGAGTAAAATTAACTCACCGATGACCACGGGGAACCGAACCCCATGCAGGGATTCAAAAGTAGATATGACAGCTATTTAATAACAGTGATTCAAAAGTCAGACATACACAAAAACTATAACTAACTAACTTCCCTTCCTTCCTTCCCGTCCTACTGAAACTCTAAAATTAACTACAAATAAGCAATTACTAACGCACACACTCATAAGTAAATTCAAACATCAAATGTCCCATCATCATTATGTATTAAAAGCTTCCTAACAGAGTTGCTTATGTTAACATGTATTATTGGCAGCTCTTTACAAATAACAACTACTTTTTAGAGGAGACTTTAGATAAAGTTTTGGTTCCTCCTGGAATGATTATGTAGTCCCGACCGTGACTTAATAATGATGCAGATCGAATCGGAACACCGTCTAATGTTTACTTTTCAAAGTGTGTGTTATGCGTTCCAACCGCGATATTATGACTGTGTACTCCAATGGTTAAAGAAACCATACCACGGGTGGGGTTTGAACCCGCGGTCAGAGAGTCTCTCAAAACTTTCCTATGGTGTAGAAATATACCTAGTTGGATGAATCTTATTGAAGCTAGCTGGTCCAGTGGCTAACGCGACGGTCTGGAGTTTTGAGACTCTGACCGCGGGTTCTATCCCTACCCGTGGTATGGTTTGTTTGCAATCGTGTCATTACGATTTCGTGAGTCATGATTAAAGAATTTTATCAGACGATATAACTTATATATCTGCACGCACATTGTAAGATCATCGTAATGGATGCTGATGCTTTGCCTCTCCTTACATTGGCTTAGTTTGCTCTCTGTATTGTCTTTGCAGAACCTGTCATCCTTATCGAAGAACCAGTAGAGTAAATGACACTCGACAGGTAAGGGGAAGAGAATATGCATCCCCTGAATTTCTAATTATCCAGTTTGAACCTCACTCCCCACTGTTGAAGATTGAACATCGTGTAGTTCATTGTAGTATATTTACTATAGTAAACCAGTGCGATGTTTAACTTCTACACACCTGCACAGTATAGGCGAGTATCAAATTTCGCTTTATTCGGTAGAGAGATTCCTGGACTCCCTATCCTCACTCCGCTTTACCTTACCTCCAACACCAGTGATGGTTCCTACATTCCCTACCCTCCTTACCATACCTCCAACACCAGTGATGGTTCCTACACTCCCTACCATCCTTACCATACCTCCAACACCAGTGATGGTTCCTACACTCACTACCATCCTTACCATACCTCCAACACCAGTGATGGTTCCTACACTCCCTACCATCCTTACCATACCTCCAACACCAGTGATGGTTCCTACATTCCCTACCGTCCTTGCCATACCTCCAACACCAGTGATGGTTCCTACACTTCCTACCATCCTTACCATACCTCCAACACCAGTGATGGTTCCTACATTCCCTACCGTCCTTGCCATACCTCCAACACCAGTGATGGTTCCTACACTCCCTACCATCCTTACCATACCTCGAACACCAGTGATGGTTCCTACACTCCCTACCCTCCTTACCATACCTCCAACACCAGTGATGGTTCCTACACTCCCTACCATCCTTACCATACCTCCAACACCAGTGATGGTTCCTACATTCCCTACCGTCCTTACCATACCTCCAACACCAGTGATGGTTCCTACATTCCCTACCATCCTTACCATACCTCCAACACCAGTGATGGTTCCTACATTCCCTACCATCCTTACCATACCTCCAACACCAGTGATGGTTCCTACATTCCCTACCGTCCTTAAAATACCTCCAACACCAGTGATGGTTCCTACACTCCCTACCCTCCTTACCATACCTCCAACACCAGTGATGGTTCCTACATTCCCTACCGTCCTTACCATACATCCAACACCAGTGATGGTTCCTACACTCCCTACTCTCCTTACCAAACCTCCAACACCAGTGATGGTTCCTACACTCCCTACCCTCCTTACCATACCTCCAACACCAGTGATGGTTCCTACACTCCCTACCCTCCTTACCATACCTCCAACACCAGTGATGGTTCCTACACTCCCTACCATCCTTACCATACCTCCAACACCAGTGATGGTTCCTACACTCCCTACCATCCTTACCATACCTCCAACACCAGTGATGGTTCCTACACTCCCTACCCTCCTTACCATACCTCCAACACCAGTGATGGTTCCTACACTCCCTACCATCCTTACCATACCTCCAACACCAGTCATGGTTCCTACACTCCCTACCCTCCTTACCATACCTCCAACACCAGTGATGGTTCCTACACTCCCTACCATCCTTACCATACCTCCAACACCAGTGATGGTTCCTACACTCCCTACTCTCCTTACCAAACCTCCAACACCAGTGATGGTTCCTACACTCCCTACCCTCCTTACCATACCTCCAACACCAGTGATGGTTCCTACACTCCCTACCCTCTTTACCATACCTCCAACACCAGTGATGGTTCCTACACTCCCTACCATCCTTACCATACCTCCAACACCAGTGATGGTTCCTACACTCCCTACCATCCTTACCATACCTCCAACACCAGTGATGGTTCCTACACTCCCTACCCTCCTTACCATACCTCCAACACCAGTGATGGTTCCTACACTCCCTACCATCCTTACCATACCTCCAACACCAGTCATGGTTCCTACACTCCCTACCCTCCTTACCATACCTCCAACACCAGTGATGGTTCCTACATTCCCTACCATCCTTACCATACCTCCAACACCAGTGATGGTTCCTACACTCCCTACCATCCTTACCATACCTCCAACACCAGTGATGGTTCCTACACTCCCTACCCTCCTTACCATACCTCCAACACCAGTGATGGTTCCTACACTCCCTACCATCCTTACCATACCTCCAACACCAGTCATGGTTCCTACACTCCCTACCCTCCTTACCATACCTCCAACACCAGTGATGGTTCCTACACTCCCTACCATCCTTACCATACCTCCAACACCAGTGATGGTTCCTACATTCCCTACCGTCCTTACCATACATCCAATACCAGTGATGGTTCCTACACTCCCTACCATCCTTACCATACCTCCAACACCAGTGATGGTTCCTACATTCCCTACCCTCCTTACCATACCTCCAATACCAATGATGGTTCCTACACTCCCTACCATCCTTACCATACTTCCAGCACCAGTGATGGTTCCTACATTCCCTACCCTCCTTACCATACCTCCAACACCAGTGATGGTTCCTACATTCCCTACCCTCCTTACCATACCTCCAACACCAGTGATGGTTCCTACACTCCCTACTATCCTTACCATACCTCCAACACCAGTGATGGTTCCTACACTCCCTACCCTCCTTACCATACCTCCAACACCAGTGATGGTTCCTACATTCCCTACCATCCTTACCATACCTCCAACACCAGTGATGGTTCCTACACCCCCTACTATCCTTACCATACCTCCAACACCAGTGATGGTTCCTACACTCCCTACCATCCTTACCATACCCCCAACACCAGTGATGGTTCCTACACTCCCTACCCTCCTTACCATACCTCCAACACCAGTGATGGTTCCTACACTCCCTACCCTCCTTACCATACCTCCAACACCAGTGATGGTTCATACATTCCCTACCCTCCTTACCATACCTCCAACACCAGTGATGGTTCCTACACTCCCTACCATCCTTACCATACATCCAACACCAGTGATGGTTCCTACATTCCCTACCCTCCTTACCATACCTTCAACACCAGTGATGGTTCCTACACTCCCTACCATCCTTACCATACCTCCAACACCAGTGATGGTTCCTACATTCCCTACCATCCTTACCGTACCTCCAACACCAGTGATGGTTCCTACACTCCCTACCCTCCTTACCATTCCTCGAACACCAGTGATGGTTCCTACACTCCCTACCCTCCTTACCATACCTCAAACACCAGTGATGGTTCCTACACTCCCTACCCTCCTTACCATACCTCGAACACCAGTGATGGCTCCTACACTCCCTACCCTCCTTACCATACCTCCAACACCAGTGATGGTTCCTACACTCCATACCCTCCTTACCATACCTCCAACACCAGTGATGGTTCCTACACTCCCTACCATCCTTACCATACCTCGAACACCAGTGATGGTTCCTACACTCCCTACCCTCCTTACCATTCCTCCAACACCAGTGATGGTTCCTACACTCCCTACCCTCCTTACCATACCTCCAACACCAGTGATGGTTCCTACACTCCCTACCATCCTTACCATACCTCCAACACCAGTGATGGTTCCTTCATTCCCTACCATCCTTACCATACTTCCAACACCAGTGATGGTTCCTACACTCCCTACCATCCTTACCATACCTCCAACACCAGTGATGGTTCCTTCATTCCCTACCATCCTTACCATACCTCCAACACCAGTGATGGTTCCTACACTCCCTACCCTCCTTACCATACCTCCAACACCAGTGATGGTTCCTACATTCCCTACCATCCTTACCATACCTCCAACACCAGTGATGGTTCCTACACTCCCTACCCTCCTTACCATACCTCCAACACCAGTGATGGTTCCTACACTTCCTACCCTCCTTACCATACCTCCAACACCAGTGATGGTTCCTACACTCCGTACCCTCCTTACCATACCTCCAACACCAGTGATGGTTCCTACACTCCCTACCATCCTTACCATACCTCCAACACCAGTGATGGTTCCTTCATTCCCTACCATCCTTACCATACCTCCATCACCAGTGATGGTTCCTACACTCCCTACCCTCCTTACCATACCTCCAACACCAGTGATGGTTCCTACATTCCCTACCATCCTTACCATACCTCCAACACCAGTGATGGTTCCTACACTCCCTACCCTCCTTACCATACCTCCAACACCAGTGATGGTTCCTACACTCCCTACCCTCCTTACCATACCTCCAACACCAGTGATGGTTCCTACACTCCGTACCCTCCTTACCATACCTCCAACACCAGTGATGGTTCCTACACTCCCTACCCTCCTTACCATACCTCCAACACCAGTGATGGTTCCTACACTCCCTACCATCCTTACCATACCTCCAACACCAGTGATGGTTCCTACACTCCGTACCCTCCTTACCATACCTCCAACACCAGTGATTGTTCCTACACTCCCTACCCTCCTTACCATACCTCCAACACCAGTGATGGTTCCTACACTCCCTACCCTCCTTACCATACCTCCAACACCAGTGATCGTTCCTACACTCCCTACCCTCCTTACCATACCTCCAACACCAGTGATGGTTCCTACACTCCCTACCCTCCTTACCATACCTCCAACACCAGTGATTGTTCCTACACTCCCTGCCTCCTCTGTTCACTCACAGCACCAGTAGCAGTCTGCCAGTCGCTCATCTGCACCTCCCTGCCAATACCAAGTCACTACCTGCTACTCACATGCACCGAACAAAGAAGTTACTGTTGCTTCTGGACAAAACTTTAGAACTAGATACGGTATCATTTATGCGCAAGAACTAACCTACTCACTATGAAATCTTAAGGAATTTCTTTAAAAGAAGTTAAATTAGCAGACAAATGAAAAATGGGAAACATTTTGCCAATAAAAAAAAAGTGACAGGATGAACATTGGCACTCTAGGTCTTATTCACTGACAAATGTTTGTGTAAAAATTAATCTGGAATATGGTAGATAAAGTTGAATAAAACATCTGGAGAGTAAGAATTTGCAATGAAACTCTTATATTTCTGTACAAACTCTATTAAACTACTAGAAAAAGTCCAAGCAAGTACTCTAGAAAGAAACGGGGGGGGGGGGGCAGATTGCATTTATTCAGCCTTAAATAAGATT